AAGATGATAGGACGCAATGTTGAGGCATATGTCGATGACCTCATCATCAAGTCCAAACGTGGGGGATCCCATTTGGACCATTTATGCGAGACCTTCACCACCCTCAACACTCGCAACTTGTGTCTTAACCCGCTTAAATGCATATTCGAAGTGGAGGCTGTGATGTTCCTCGGCCACATGATCACTAGGCAGGGAATCAAAGTTGATCCTAAACAAATTGAAGCCATCCGCCAGCTGAGGCCCCCCGCAGCGCACAAGAAGTCCAGTCATTGGAGGGGAAGCTCGTCACCCTCAGAAGGTTCATCCCTCGCTCAGGCGATCTATGCGCACCTTTCTTTCAGACTCTCAAAGCGAGAACGAAGTTCAAGTGAGACGCCGCGTGTGAAAAAGCCTTTGAAGAGCTCAAAATGTATCTTGTATCCCCATCGATGTTGGTTGCTCCTGTGGCGAATGAAATGTTTTATCTTTACATCGCGGTGTCAGTTAGGGCGGTAAGCATAGTACTAATTTCTAGATCGAAAGGCATGGGCTAAAGGGCAGTGTATTATACATCAAGCACGTTGACAGGTACGGAAACACGGTACTCGCCTATCAAAAAGGCAACTCTCGCATTGGTGTCCGCGTCCCAAAAGCTACGACCATATTTCCAAACGCATGCAATCACGATGCTAACCAACCTGCCTCTCAAAAATCCTAAGTTCAATTGAAGTCTCGGGACGGCTGGTGAAATGGGCGGTAGAGCTCTCCTAATACGACATCAAATACGCACCTCGGCCAGCCATAAAAAGACAAGTCCTAGCGGATTTCATAGCCGAAGGGGGTGGTCCTCGAAGCCGCACCAAAGGAACATGGGAAATCCACGTGGATGGGGTCGCCAAAAAGCATGGAGCGGGAGCAGGGGTGGTGATCTGCACCCCACTTGGTGTCATCCATGAAATAGTTATACACTCTCGGGCGTTGAAAACAAACTACACGACAGAATACGAAGCCGTGTTGGCAGGATTGCGTGCCGCCAATGAACTAGGGGCAAGGGCAATAAAGGTGTTATCGGATTCCGCTCTGGTAGTCAACAAGTTGAACGGTGTCTTCGATGCAAAGGAAGAAGGACTCTCACAATACATACCAAGGATAAAAAGGAGAGGCCAAAAATTTTCATTCCATCGTGTATGTACATGTTCCACGGGAGGAGAATATTCACGTCGACGCCCTCTCCAAGCTAGCTACAACCACGGATTTAGAGGAGGCCCGAATGGTCTCGGTGCATAAGGAAGGATACCTGTTAGACATTGAATGCCCAACAGTCAATACCACTGACAACGCCGAGGACGACTAGCGCAGTCCCATACTCGAGTATCTCACCACGGCCAGGGTCCCAGAGGACCCAAAAAAAGCTTGGACGCTTCGACAAAAGGCGGCTCGATGCACAATCATCAGACAAGGGCTATACAGACGATCAAATTCTGGGACATACCTGAAATGCCTGGCGCCGAGGAAGCCACACAAGTAGTGCGTGAAATACACGAGGGAATATGTGCCATGCACCACGGAGCAATAAGCTTAGAAAGATCAATCTTACTAAGTGGCTACTATTGGCCACATATCAAAAAGGACGCCAAAGCATACGTAGACCGGACTCATAAGTGCCAAATATATGCCCGCCTGCATCAGCTGCCATCGGCGGACTTGCAGGCAAACATCAGTCCTTGGCCATTTGCACGGTGGGGAGTAAACTTGCTCGGTCCCTTCCCGATAGCTAAAGGAAAGCGGAAATATTTGATCATGTTGGTACACTATTTCACAAAGTGGGTAGAAGCAGAACCTTTGCGTCAATCAAGGCTCAACAAGGAACTCGTTTCCTTACCTAGAACATTTTATCCAGATTTGGTACTCCACAATCACTGATCTTCGACCATGGCACCCAGTTTGACTGAGCGAAAGTGATAGACTTGTGCGACCAGATAGGCACGATCATCAAATTCGCATCGGTCTCATATCCTCAAGCAAACGGCCAAGCTTAAGCGGCCAATAAAGCTATATTACATGGGTTGCACACCCGCCTAAACGAAGCGAAAGGCAATTGGCCAAACGAACTACAGAGCGTCTTATGGTCTCACCGTACGACATACAAAACTGCCACAGGTGAGACACCATTCACACTCACTTACGACACTGAAGCAGTCATCCCCATCGAAACAAATATTCCCGCCGCTCGAGTTGAGATATATAACAAGGTCGACAATGAGGAGATGCGACTGATAAAGCTCGACCTCGCCACCGAACGCCGAGAGTTGGCAACTGTTCGACTCACGCCAGGGAAAGCAGAAGTTGCTAGGTACCACAATGCAAAAATCCGCCCTCACAACCTCAAACACGGAGATCAAGTGCTAAGGCAGAACAATTGCACTATACTTAAGGAGATACAGATTGCAGACGGATATGAGAAGTATATATAGTACTTCTCAAAACGGCCTAACCCTAATAAAATATGGTAAAGAATATGGTTACAAATCAGGCTTAGAACTAAAGACCAAACATGTATAAGTCCATACACCGAGAACATGGAACACGCAAAACTTGCGTTTGTATCAACCCACTCAGTCGGTGTAATACTTAGGGCATGAATTTTGACCCTATAATAAACGAGTGCGGAATACGCCTCTCTATTACGAGAACAACTTTCTCAATGGAATATAAACGAGTGCGAATTCGCCTCTCTATTACGAGAACAACTTTCTCAGCGTAATATAAAAGAGTGTGAATCCGCCTCTCTACTACGAGAACAAAATTCTCATTGGAAACACAGCAGTCAATTGGCAAAACAAGGTACGTTCATTAAAGCAAGGCGGTTGCATCCAAAGTGTCACAAATCACAAAACGCCAGTTCCATGTCTAACAAGATATAAGGGGAAAGTAAAAGGCAGGTTACAACAAGAATCAAACATCTGTAGTGGCATCACCTCCAAACCCAGCGACGCCTTCTTCCTTAATTTCGTCTCAGATTCATCTAACATCGATTGATTTTCTTTGAAAATTTTTTGCACATGACCAACCATGTCGCGAGTGTTCCATTGGCTCCCGGGGTTGTCCGGGCGAACCTTCTTGCGCACCGCCACAATGGTCCGATACATACAATCAGACAAATGCTTCCCAAACGCGGGCGACTGCTTGTATGTTTGGATGGTTTTCGCGGCAATCACCACCTTTTCCGCGTTAGCCTTCTGCTCAAACTCCTCCAACTTCTTGTTCAGCTCCTCCTTCTCGACCGCAAACTCCGATCGAACGCGCTCCAACTCCCTCTCCAAAAGCTTTTTCTCCTCCTCAAACTCCCGATTCAATTCTGCCCGAATTCTAACCCGCTCTTCAGCCCGCGCCTTCTCCCTTTCCGCGGAAAGATCATCAGTAAGCTTGTGAGCCAACTCGTACACACGAGGAAGAGCATCGTCACAATTCTTATGAATCGAAAAATATGTCGTTCTGTCTTCGCTGCTTGACCTTGCAGTTGAATCACCTTGGATTGCTCCGAGCCTAATTGCGCCATGATATCCGCTCGTTCCTTCTCTGCACGAAAGCTGGCTACCAGCGCTTGCTGAAACACATGATGAGGCTCAGCCGCCCAACAATTAAAGAAAAAAAAGGAGAGAGGGGAAGAGAAAAGAAACCGAACAAACCTGGAACTGAGCGTGCGCCGGATCAACATACGGATCGCTGCTCTCCATTCTGGTGGGAAGAGCTAGAGCGGCGCCAACAGCTTTCAGGGAAAGCTGCACGGCTTGAAGGGTCTGCGCAGTCGCGATCTACAACTCGATGTCTTGTTAATGAGCTGCAGTATCCTAAAAAACCGCCATGTCAGGCAGGGTCTGCTGTACAGGTGGAACGCCGGAACTCCCGCCATGTGCCTTCTCAGTCTGCCCTTTTATGCCGCCACAGCTCCTGCTCGGACCCTTCTTCGCCTTCAAAGGCTTCCCAGATGCCATCTCTACCCACAGTTCAGTCCTCGCCACCTTGGCCGCCTTGGGATTTGTCGTCACACCCGCGTTCTTCCTCTTCCGGCCGCCCTTAGGCGGCGCGGGAAGATCCGCCACAGTGATCATCGACGCGACAGAGTTGTAATCCACCCCTACAAAGAAAAGTTGTAAGAATCCGATTAATACAATAAGAGAATATACAGAAGAAGAAAAATACTAACCATTGACATATAGCTCGCTAAGGACGGCTTCGCGTGAACCCGTTGGTGAAGATCCACCCGCTCAGTCTGCAATAGATCATATTGCTTCTGGAGTTGTGGATAAGCTCCCACATTCGATTCATAATCCTTTACAGAACCATTAGACCACGCAGAGGGGAAGGTCACATGAAGGGTGGTCAACTCCTCAGGCGCCGACTTAACATAAAAGAACTTCTTGAACCAATCGTTGTCGAGCTTGGGCGACCCATATACATATCCGCCAGGGTTATTATCTTGACGCTTAATCGACATTCCATTCTCCCTCTTGGGACCAGATGACTGCGGAGCTTTCAGCTTGTAGATCTTGCGGAACAGACCATACGTTGCATTCAAGTTCCGCCACTTACACATAGCTCGCAACGCACATGTGTGAAAAATCACAGAAGGAGAGAAGCGAGCCAAGTAACAATTCACCAAATCATATAAATGACAAAGCAAAAGCTCAATGGGGAATTTAAATACCATCTGTCAATACTCTTGTGTAAACGCCGAACCATCCTGGGGGGCAATTGCCAACGCGGCTGAATTCGGATTGAATGACATATTGCCAGTGAGACAGCAATCCGAGACCATACACGTACCGCAGAACATCGTCTCGATTGAGGATGGAGGTGTGATCCGGACCACGCAATAGATGCTTTGTCGGAACATAAAACCCCTCGAACATCTCCGCCTAGTCCAAAATAGTGTAATCGGCCCCAACCGCGTTCATCCCTAATCGCGACACAGCTTCTGTTGTTCGCACCATGGCGAAAACGGAACTATCATCAGGCTCTCACAGGGCGAGTGAACTATTTGTCGCCATTTCATCGGCGAAACTACTATTGTCCTCCCCCACCATGAGCGCTTTGCCTCTATCTCCACTCTGACCTCCACCAGAGTGCGCTTCCCGAACTTTCCGATCCCCGTCATCACGACTAGACACCCCGTCGGAAGAACTCCGAAGGAAATTGGTGTTACCAACGGAATCAAAGTTAGGAGTCTCCGGCAATGCCTTGTCGAAAGAAGATTGATCATTATCTACCCCTACTTCCCTAAAATCTACAGAAGGATCAGAAGTATCATTACCTCCGTCGTCGATCTTGATCACAGCCCGAGCGGCGATCTTCTCGGCGTCCATCTTGCAACCGGAAACACGAACGGCGACAAAACAATGATCGGAGTCGAAGACGAGGCAATGAGCAACAGAGAAAGCAAAGGAAAAGAGGAGGAAGAAAAACCAGAATATTTCTTCTGCAAATGAAGAAAGTGAGTCGACCTGAAACACCGCCCCGGTATTTATAATCGAAGAAAGAGAAGGTCAGCCGTTAGAACGACTCTTCGGAACCCGCGCTAACACGTCCAATCAGAAGATTTTGAAATTGAAATTGCCGCCCAAATTAAAGAACTAGAACATGCCACGTGTCCGTCAGTCGACGTTCCGCTACCAGCGCACCGTCGACTGAGGGGGCAACCTCCCCCGCCATACTTAAAAAATTGACTGATTAGTCCCAGTCGCGCGAAAGAAGAAGGGTGGAAATCACCGCCAACGAGATGGGGGGCAAAGTTCCAGGGCTGAAAGTACCGCCGACGCGACAGGGGGGCAAAGCTCCAAACAACAATTGCATAAGGCGAGGAGGACTTGGCCACGAAATGCGAAGTGCGGCAGACAGAAACTAACGCATGAGGCACTTACGGACTACCTCCTACTGGGGGGCAATTGTTAAGGGAATAGGCTGAGAAAGACGCATGAGAAGCACGTGCCCCACTTAGGCGTCCCGCTCAACTACCACAAGCCGCATCACTCCGACTTGATCCGCGGAACTGCCAACCGGGAATCCCGCACAACGGGGACGCGTAACGGAATCCGCTGAAGGGATATCAGTGGGCCCTCGTATCTGCATCTGACTACCGGTCTTGTCACTAGGATTCACCCACCAAACACATAAAGTCTATAAATACCGCATTTACTACACTTGAAAGAGGACTTTTCGACTCTCTCTCCAATTATCTCTCTAAAATTCCTCTGTAACCCCCTTCTTGAAGGATCCCTCTTGTTATCAATTGGAGGAGAATCAATCAAAAAAGAGGGTTGCCCTTTCCCTTATCGAATCAACGTTGAAGTCTCTAAACTCATCGTGCAAACCTCCTATTCCACAGGCTTGCACAAGCAGTATTGTTTTTCAAAGTGATAGTGGTTGCCTAATGGATTGGTAATGATTTCTTGTTTTCCCCCCGGAAAGATTAAGAAAAATAAGTAAAGGAGATCTGGTTGGTGATCACGGATGTGGGAGAAAGAAAGAGAATTGTATTTAGTAGATTTTTGTAATTGCTTAAAATGTAATTTATTAAAAAATTAATTTAAACAATTTTTTTTCATACCCAATTTACCCTTAATAACCATGACGATTACTATTTTGTAGTAATCACCATAATCTCCCCATATCTAGGGGTGGCAGTCGGTCGGTTTCGGTTTAACCAAAAACCGAAAACCCGGTTATCGGTTAAACCGAGCCAATCCCTATAGCTGCCGACCACCGACCGTGAGAGTGGTCACGGTTAGCCGGCCAACCGACCAGTCGGTTTTGATTTTAGGCTCGGTTAGCCGGCCAACTGGAAAACTACCGTTTCTAAAAAAAAAAAAAATTAAAAAAACGAAAATTCTGCACCACTCACTCCTAACCCCTCTCACTTCTCGATTCTTCTTCTTCCTTTCCAGAGAAACCCGCCGCTAACCTAACCTATCTCTCTCCCTACTCTCTCTCGATTCTCTTCTTCCTTTCCAGAGAAAGGAAAATCAACAAATCCGAAATAGCCTCCTCCCTCACCTCTCTCGTTCTGCCCTCTCCCTCAATCGCCATTCCCTCTGCCTCTCCGTTGACGGCGACGGGAACAGCGGTGGAACAACGAGGATGATCGTCCAGCCCCTCGTCGGCTACTACAGTGACCGCTGCACCTCCCGCTTCGACCGCCGCTTCCCCTTCATCGCCGGCGGCACCGTCTTCATCCTCATCTCCGTCTTCCTCCTCGGATACGCCGCTGACATCGGCCACGCCGCCGGCGACGACCACTCCTGCCCGGCCAAGCCCCGCGCCATCACCGTCTTCGTCGTCGGGTTCTGGATCCTCGACGTCGCCAACAACATGCTCATGGGCCCCTACCGCGCCCTGCTCGCGGATTTGTCCGGGAGCAGCCAGAAGAAGACACGTGTTGCCAATTCCTTCTTCTCCTTCTTCCTCGCCGTCGGCAACGTCCTCGGATATGCCGCCGGGAGCTACAGCCGCCTCTACAATATTTTCCCCTTTACTAAGTCCGAAGCCTGCGACGTCTACTGTAGATCTGCTTCTTCTTCTTCCTGTATTTGGGAATTTTATTTTTATGGGCTAATACCATTGGAAATACCATTCTTTAGCGAAAGTGTCATTTATATTACGTACTTTCAATAAACACAAAAATATTCCAATGTATTAGAGGTTTGCGTCATTTGTGTTACGCGAATTTCTGTTGACCGTTAGAATTGATGGTTGACCTGACGGTGGTCAACTTATATTTGACTATTGCTTATGTGGCTTTTAGGTGTTGTCTACATAGGTGCCATGTAGGAAATTAGTATTTAAAAAATATTTATTTATTTTTATTAATTTATTTTTAAATAATTATTTTCTAAACAATGGCCCTCTGTCTTCCTCTGCAATCCTTACTGCCAGGGTTCACTCCTCTCGTCGCCGACGCTGTCATGCCACATCTGCTTCTTCGGACGATCCCAACTCCTCGATGCGCCGTGCGATTTAGCTTCTTCCTTGGGCTCTGGGCAGAGGCTGAGCGGCGACAACGCAACGAGGCTGAGCGACGATTTAGCTTCTTCAATGGAGACAACGACCTCCATCTCTCGCCGCCTCCCAATCACGGAAGTGGATCCCCTGGCTCACCGCTCTATTGTTCTTACGGCCGACACACTTCGACGGTGATGACGCTGCAGCCGCGGGAGGAATCTTCGTTCCAGAGAAGGAATTTTCTTTCGGCTCTCCAATCTCGCATCCACAACCTATCCTAGTGACTTCCTTGGCTTTCTCCACTGGTGGATTTCCAGGAGCGGTGATCCGAACCTGACGTCGACGATGACGACGACCATCACCAAACCAGCTATCTGAACCCGGCGTCGATGACAACGACAACCGGATCCCTGGATCTGGATCTAAATCTCCCTCCGCCTCCCGATTTCGCTTAACCCATCTAATCTGCCTGTTTTTCTATTATAGATGAGATGAATCCAGATCTGTCGATGAGATTTGGGGAAGGAGAACAGTGGCGGAGAGTGGCAGGGTGAATAATTTCCCCTTTTCTATTTTACTTTTATCCTTTTCTTTATTTTTTTTCTTCTAATTAAATGCAAAAATTAAATGGGCGGGTTATAATTTCCACATCAGCGTGACAGAAAGGCATTGACTAGTCTCCTAGTTAAATATAACAGTCAAACTAACAGAAAAGACGATTTGGTATACAAATGTCATATCAATAGTTTTGTAATATAAATGGCAAAGTCACTAAAGGTTGGTATTTTTAGTGGTATTAGCCCTTTTTTTATTTAAGATGTGGGAATGGGGATGAATCTGGACATATTTTGGGGAAGGTGAAGTGGGTCTCGGTTGGCCCGATTAGTCGGATAACCGCGGTTAATTACCGTCGGTTAGTTGGATAACCGCGGTTAATTACCGTCGGTTACTCGGTCAACTGACCCCTTCCTTTCCCCATCCGACCACCGACCGTCAAAGTAACCGGTCGTTTTTCGGTTAGCTGGTAACCGGCGGTTTTCGGTTAAAACCGGCGGTTACCCGCAAACCGCAAACCGAAATGCCAGCCCTACTACCCATATCATAGTGTTTATCGAGGGTATACATCCAGACAAATCCAGAAGCAGCAATTGATGTTCCCAAAAATTTCGCTGGATTCGTGGGGATTTGACTACGAGGCAAACGTCGGGTCTCGTGGCTCAGCACCTAACAACCGGACTTGAAATCCGGCCAAAATCAACCAAGGAAAGTGAAAAAAAGCCCCCGTTTCGCGGAAGTTTTATCCTTACGATGTTACTTTGGCCAAATTATTCTTACGCCATGTGATTCTGCTGAACTATGTATGTTCTTCAGCCGTAAGTGTCGGATATGCTACTGTAAATATTATTACCGAGCAAAGCAATTCTGTAGTCAAAAGAAATAATTTTACTGAGAAAGCGATCCTTGTTTTGTCATGGCAAAGTGACAACCCTTTTCTTTTCTTTTCTTATACAGGTATCAGTTGTTTTATTTTTATTCAAAAAGCCATCTTTGAAGCAAAAGTGTCTGTCCTTTTTCGCCGTTTTGTTTTCTTGTGGGTAGTGGACAAGGTGAGGAAGAAACCAAACACAAAATAAACAGGCTGAATGAAAAATTTGCCTTCTGCTTTACCTTGCTTTGCTTGCGGAGTGGTTGGCGGGTGACTCACACACTCCGCCTGAAACAAAGAAAGAAAGAGTCTTTCTCGTTCATCTTAATCTGTCTCGGACTAGCTATTGTTCATATTTGGTTGGCGTCTTGTGGGAATTGCGGTAGGTGGGATTTCAGTTCAATTGGCGTTAAATTGGAAAGTCCTTTGAGAGGAATTGATCAATTTCCTTGGGGGTTCTGGTTGGTTTGTCTTTGAAAGCTTTAGAATTGCGGAGATGGGTTCGTGCGCAAAGCTTGCCAGGAGGGCTCTGGAGACCGAAATGCCTGTCATGGTTCAGGTACTGATTTGTTGTGCCAAATTCATCTGGGTTTCTGCACTTTTCTTTAAAATGGTTTGTACTTTAATATTCAAGAAGCCAAGGCTTCGATAGAATGGATAATTGTGTTGTTCTTTTCCCAGATTGTATGCACGAACTTTTGTATCTGCATGTGCTTATCTATTGAAGCAGGTATTGGGGGAAGTGTTGGTTCAAAAGAGATCGCCTTTTGGCTTTGAAAGTGGTCTTCTTTATTATTATTGTTGTTTTGGGTACTCTTCTTTTTGTTCTGGGTAATAGTTATTAAGGTTTTGAGCAAAAGTGGGCAGCAGATATACATATATCCATTGCTTGCCTTTTCTCAAGAGAAAGTTCACTTGTCTATAGACACCTCAGATTCTGCAAACTGTCATATGATTGAATTGGTTGGGCAATTATGAAGAACGTTAGTTGAAAAGCGTTGCATCTGTTCTGCAGATACAGGAATTGGTCCGAGGTGCGAAAAATGCAGTTTCATTAGCTCAGGTATGCTCTTTCAGAATTTAAGGTGTTCATATTTTGTCTATATTACTGCTTAAGAACATGAACCAGCTGCTAGGGGAAGGTCATTAGTTTTGACGTTTACCAAGTACCATGATTAAGTATTCATAACAGGGAACAGTGTTAGATTTGATTTTTCTGGCAGTGCATTTTAACAATTTGCTTATTGGAAAGCAAGAAGCGAATGAAACGATAAAGAGAGTGTGCAAAGCCATTAGTCATGTTTCCATGTTGGAGTTTGACATCAGCATCGTGGGTGGATTATCACTTAGAAAAGATGTGGAGATCTTTACCTTACAAATGGTCTTGTTGCCTGATTAACTATAAATTTAGCTTTTGGGAATCCGAGAGGATTTAGGAGTTATCAACAATTGTCGCAACGTCTGATTGTCAAACTTAACACCCAATTTATGTTCGAGGTTCCTAACCCCGAAGCCAGTCTCCCTTCTATTGGTTTAGCCTAACCTTTGGTGCTTGATCAACAGATTATTTTCAATTTTTTATAAAAAGAGAGCCATGAGTTGAGTGCAGGTTTATTAGCAGAAGCAGAAGTAATCTTATTGCTCTCTTATATGTCTGAGTCTGTGCTCTCTCTGTGTTCTGCTGATTTTATGTTTTTGTTATTCTATTAATCGCCTCCCCTCTCCACAAACTCAACATACCAGGAACTTTTATGCTTATTGACCGTTATCTTGGTTGAAATATTTGATAGGGGGTGGTCTATTGGCAGCCACCAAAGCAGGCAATGGAGAAGGTAAAAGAGCTTATATGGGAGCCTTCCATTAGCCGTTATGGTGCTGATGAGGGCATTCCCGAACTTAGAGAAGCACTCCTACAAAAGGTACTCGATGTAGAATGTATGTCTGTAACTTTCTCGGCTAATTTTTTCATGTCTCCAAAAGGGACAAGGTTTGATCCTGTGAAGTAGAGTGTATTTCCCCACTGTGATGATCAGAATCCTCTGTAGTTCTCTGGTTGAGATTTTCATAACTCGTAAAGATGGATTTGTTGCTTTTATCAGTTCATACAGTTTTTCAATTGCTCAAATTTGTTTTGCAGTTGCAAAGTGAAAACAAGCTGAGGAAATCGTCAGTCATGGTTACTGCGGGTGCAAACCAGGTAATGATCTGTGCATTTTGGAAATGCTTTAGTCCATTTTTACAAAATCTTTGGGAAATTTGGGTGTAAATTCTGTAATAAAAGACAATGTAAGAGTATTTAGTTAATTTTCTAGTGAGTTGGCATTCTGGTTAGTTCGTTCCTATACATACTTCAATGGTAAATTTTACTACTCTTTACCTTGTTTGCCATGGCAGGCATTTGTTAATCTTGTGCTTGCCCTGTGTGATGCTGGGGACTCGGCAGTTATGTTCGCCCCCTATTATTTCAATGCATACATGTCTTTCCAGATGACGGGTGTTACTAATATATTAGTAGGTCCAGGAGACCCAAAGACGCTTTATCCTGATGCAGGTGAATCTTCAGGCACCTTTCATTGTGTACCTTTTTCTACCTTTTGCTGCCCAAAGAAATGGAATGTCTCTAGAACTCCAACTAATGTAACCTAGAATCAACTGCTTATGCTACGTGTTCGGAATTGAGAGCTCTGCTTTAGCTTTACAATATCAAAATTTGGTAATGAACAAGCAATCAAAATTTTAGCTGTTGTGCAAACAAAGCAACAGATTTCAATGAAAGCTCTTCGAAAAAACACACAGATTTTCTTGTATCAGCTTTTGCTGATATTCGCAGAGACAGTGGATATGATTACTGCTTTAAATGGGCAATAATACTGTCAGCTATAGGTAAAGATGTATTAAACTTCCAAATGTGCGTAGAAATTTCTAAACAAACTTGGGATCTTAGTAAAGGACGCTGTATTTGTAAATAATAGACAGCAGCGTAAAATTTTTCCCATGATAAATTTTTTGCACCACGTGTATGATTTGTAGGTGTTCAAATGAGACAATTTGTAATCCATTTCTCAAATTGGAGCCATGCATGATACATGTGTTTCTTGCTGCATTTTCTCCTCTTTGAGTGAAACATCTATAAGTGTGTGTTTTTGTGCGCAGATTGGTTGGAGAAGACACTAGCGACTACCAAGCCAGTTCCAAAAGTCGTTACTGTAGTTAATCCTGGAAATCCATCTGGGACCTATATTCCAGAGCCCCTCCTTAAGGTAATATATGTGGACAGTTGGAAATAATATTGACTGAAAGATGAAAGGCAGATTTCTTTGTTGCTAGTAATCTTCATCGGCCTCAGTCCAAAATATCGTAAATGCAGCACTCATGCTCATCAATGAATGTGAATACTATGATATGTCCCTATGTTGAAGATATGGCTTTTCTTTGTCTTGAGCAGAGGATTTCAGAGCTTTGCAGAGCAGCTGGATCCTGGCTTATTGTTGATAACACATATGAGTAAGTTTTTGTTTTGATCTATGTTGTGCTGTGTCTAGTGTTAGTTGGTACTGAAGCATCTTTAAAGTTTTCATGATGGGAAGTTTGGGCCGAGATCTTCCTTGCTTCAATGTTTTCAGAATATAATTGATCTGATGTATTTTGTTCATGATTCAAGCTTCTAGGATCCTTACGTCTTGGATAATATAGAAAACAAGCTTTTTTGGGTTTTCATGAGGAAGGTGGTGGAGGCAGTGTGTCCTTTTGACTTTTGAGGACAGCCTCATCATTAACAATTTGACGTATTACCTATAGATTCAATAAACTCTTCTTCTAATTTCAATTCTGATGAGGGATATCATAACATTTTGTATATACAGGGTTTTTAGATGAGGCATATGATGTCACGATAGAAAAACTGGGTTCTTCTGGAAATCATAATAACAATGATTATTTAATGAATAGCTACTAAAAAAGGGAGGACCCAAATTACATGTGACTACTTACAAGGGTTAGAATTCAGTTCTTATGCAACCACAGACAGGGTCGACTACACAGAAGTTGCTCCCCGGCTCTTTTCTATACTGTGACATACTGATCAATGCGTTTACTAATATTGTGCCGGAATGTGTGAACCTGAACAATTTGAGTTTGCAGGTATTTTATGTACGATGGTCTAAAGCACACTTGTATAGAAGGAGATCATATTGTCAATATCTTTTCCTTCTCGAAAGCCTATGGAATGATGGGCTGGCGCGTTGGATATGTAAGTAACCATCGTATCTTCCTACTGTTCTCAATTTTATGTATGAAAAAGACAGTTTCTTTGAGCCGAGTTTAACTCATTGAACCACCTACAGATAGCCTACCCTTCAGAAGTCGAAGGTTTTGCTACTTCTCTCCTCAAAATCCAAGACAACATACCGATCTGTGCTTCGATAATCTCGCAGTATCTTGCCCTCTACTCTCTGGAAATGGGTCCCACGTGGGTGACGGAGCGAGTCAAAGATCTGGTCAAGAACAGGGAAATCCTCATGGAAGCACTGTCTCCACTAGGTAAAGATGCTGTGAAAGGTGGCGAGGGCGCAATATACCTGTGGGCCAAACTGCCGGAGAAGTATATTGACGACGGAAAAGTTGTACACTGGCTCGCTCACAGGCATGGCGTGGTTGTAATACCGGGTGGTGCATGCGGGTGTCCAGGCCATGTGAGGATCTCGTTCGGAGGTTTGGTCGAGGTTGATTGCAAGGATGCGGCTAAGAGGCTGAGACTCGGGTTAGAAGAATTGGTAAACATTGGAATGGTGGAGTGAGGTGTTCTGCTTCGCGCTATCGCTCTCTTCAGCATTGAAACAGGACACAACAGTTTGCCAGTTCTTTGGTAGTGATGAGTTGTGATGGGAATAAAATGTTTGGGTATATTGCAGAAGGTACTCGGTTAAGTTGCATATTCTCCTTCCTCTGTACTCAGAGTTGATGGTTCTATACAATGCCAAATGGTTATTGCATGACATGTTAAAAACTGAATGATCACAAACTTTACTATCCACGTCTGCAAACTAGTGGGCTGACCCGTGATGTGCAGAAAGCAGTATCAAAGATACCTATAGAACTAAACTTCTGAAGTCGTATTCACTAGGTTCTCTCTAGTTGATTACTCGAGAAATACAACAGTGTTTCAATATCAAACTGTAGTTGAAGCTACACTTGGTTTCCAACGCAATTTAAAAAAAAAAACAAAATTTAACAACCCAGCAATTTAACAAGGTTGTTCTCAATGGAGAAAGATGTTCAAATTGTGCTTCCCCCCTAGGCATACAAGGCATTGGACGGGATACGGTGACAACCCCCTTGAGGGTTGTCAGATTCACAACCAAGGGTATTTTGGGTATGAAAAAAAGAAATATATTAATTACCTTTTTTGTATTAATTATATTGGGAATTAAAAACCCATATTAAATACAATTTTTTTTTTAAATTTAAATCCTATACATTAATATCTCTATCTATCTCTCTCTCTTCCTTTCTCCAGCAACCACTCCGCATCGACCGACAAACTTTTTCTCCGGCGAATTCTCTCCGGCAGACTCCCTCCGGCAACCTGAAAAAAATGTACCAATGCGTTAAAAAGTGTACCAATCTATTAGTCTACTGGTAATTAATATACCAGTGCTAGTGGTACGCTACCAGTACGTTAAAAAATGTACCAGTACTAGCGGTACCAGTAAAAAATGTACCAGTACTAGTGGTACGCTACCAGTACAACGCTACCAGTAGAGAATAACACAACGCTACTAGCACTGGTAGCGCTACCACTAGCATTGGTAGAGGTACCAGTAGCGAATAACAAAAAAAAAAAAAACAAACAGATGATAGTGGTACCAGATGATAGGGGAGCCACTGGTATTGGTACCAGTGAGTAGTGGTAGCGTACCAATAGCGCTACCAGTGGTATTGATACCAATAGTGCTACCAGTGGTATTGGTACCGGTAGAGACTATCAGATCTGGAAAAAAATAGGGATGAGGAAAGAGGGAGGCAGGGAAGAAAAGAATCACAGTAGCTCAAAGAAATCATAAATCAAATTCCCAAGGCAAAAAAAAAAAAAGAACTTTTACAAACAGAAAGAGCAGAAGAAGCTTACAGCGTCACGGAGCTCGGTTCCCAGCTGCTGAATCACAAGAGCAAAGCTACGAGACACCTTGTGCAGCATTGTGTAACAGAATCCCCAGTGAGGCTGCGGTGGGATCTGCTTTTGTAGGTTGCGGTGTAACTGAATCACAAGACAAAAGGGAATTTCGACTTTTGTAGGCAATGAGTGAGAGAGAGATCGAACGGGGGGCTTTGCCTTTAAATGGAGAGGGAGGGTGGCAAACTGGGGGCGGAGAGCGGAGGGGGAAAAGACACGGCAACGGGCTCACAGATTTCATTGAAAAAGCTTCGCTGGTGGGTGGAGAGAGGCGGCAGCGGCGGTGGAGGCCGGCGGGAGTGCTGTCTGGAGAGAGGGAGGAGGGAAAGAGAGAGATGAGGGGGAGAGGGAGGAGTTAGGGTTTTTATTTTATTTATATGGGAGGGAAAATGATTGGGTGTGTTAACATTTTTCCTTTCCAAAAATACCCTTCTTTTAATCCTAACCATCAACTTAAAAAAAGAAGAAAGAGACAGGAGAGAGAGTGTATCCAACGGTTAGTGAGTGGGTTGTGAATCTGACAACCCCTAAAAGGGTTGTCACCGTATCTCATCCCACAAGGCATTAATATTTTATATTTCCTAAATAAACTAAATTAATATAATTTTTTTACAAGCGTCATATAGGTTCAGTTTTATAAATAAGTACTATTTAAGAGATTCAAACCTAAGACCTTCAAGTTCAAAACTAGTATCGTCGGATTAATAAGAGCTCTCAAGGTTTTGATAAAAAAAAAGTTCAAACTAGTAGTATGACAACTAGATCAATTCTTTTTTCGTTAAATTAATAGGATCTTAATATTGTATATTTTATATTAATAGGGAGAATGGAGGTATTAGAACGAACCGGGATAGTCGGCAATGTAAGAATGTAAACAACATATAAATTTACGTGGTTCACTAACACAATGTGTTAGCTAGTCCATGGGAAGGAGAGAACAATTGCACTATACTTAAGGAGATACAAATTGCAGACGGATATGAGAAGTATATATAGTGCTTCTCAAAACGGCCTAACTCTAATCAAATATGGTAAAGAATAAGGTTACAGATTAGGCTCAGAACAGAAGACCAAACATGTATAAGTCCATACACCGTGACTTCCAATCAACGACATATAATCTGATTCAAGTTATGTCAACTGAATTTAAAGTTGCACTTCCGATTTAATTTGATTAAGAAATCATGAAATTTTTTAGGGGTGTAAGCTTAGCCCTAAGAACTCACTTATGGATCAGTTTGTTTACAATGTCAGTTTAGGGCAAGTCATCTTCTGACCTTGTAAGGATTGGGTCAACTTAGGGCTGGGTCACCCATAACAACTGGTGATATGAAATTTCTCATACCAACACATTGGACCTATTTTTAAAGTTTTTAAAGTTTAGGTATTATAATTCAAGGTAAAAAAATATAAATGTACTAAAACATAATTTTATCACAAAAATTCGTGAACAATTTGTATAAAAAAAATAAAATTTACATACCAAATTGGAAGGAAAAATAAATTTGGATATTATTGTGTTTATATGGTTGACCCACTGACCTGGCCTGCCCCATAAATCCCAAACCTAGAGGTTTAAACAATATCAAGAAGAAAACAGAGACAAAGCGATTTTTTTTTATAAAAACATCCTATAACTTTTATTAAGTACGGGTAGTAGAAGTAAAGTTACAGGATTTCTCAGACCTCAAAAGGTCAACAATAAAGATGGGGGCCTATCTAGCCATTTTTCAGTCTCATCCCATCTGCAATTTGTATGGGCAAGCAGATGGGCACACACATTTCCATTTCTTCCCCAAAAACACGAGCAAAATCCAGGTCCTTCTGCTGCCTTTCTTCGAATTTATGCACATACAACTCCAATTTCCAGGAGCCAGTCTTCTTCTCGATTCAACAGTGAGATGAGAGTTAGGCATTCCGTCTCATTGTACCGGCATTAGCGCATGCTCCTTAAGGAAATCCATCGCCCAAAGAAAAGTTGCCGCTTCCGCCATCTCTGGCTTCCACTAGCGCCTGTCTCAGCGTACCACCGCCGCTACAAAATCTCCCTGATCATCCCGCACCACCAGACCCATCCTTGTGCCAGCATCTGCCATCACCGCCGCGTCAATGTTCGCTTTCAGTTTACCCGACGGGGGAGGTTCCCATTGGAACGGTCTCACTACTGCTTCTTCTCTGACCCCCCTGATTTTATTCTCCACAAACTCCTCAAGGTAATTCCCAGCTCTCCCATAAATCTCCCATTCTTCAAGCTTAGGGTTATTAAAAAGATGGTTGTTCCTTTCTTTCCATAAGTACCATAGCAGAATAAGAAATTTTGATAGCTTCTCGTCATCAGTAGCCTCTAGGATCTCGCATATCCATTCTTCAATCAATTTTTCTTCTCCCATTTGGAACAAATCAGAAATAGAAGAAGGCCTCCAGATCCTACTAGCCCATGCACAATCCTGAAGATGTGTTCTTGTGTCTCACATAATCCACAAAAGTGCAGTCTTGGCTTGCATCCTTAAGCTTGATTCATAGGTTTGCTCCTGTTGGCAGTATATTCAACCCCATTTTCCACGCAAAAATTTTCACTTCGGGTGGAATTTTCAGCTTCCAGAGTCGTTTCCAGTCTATGGGTATATATAACTCACCCTCTTCCTCGTTCCTTAGGGAGTTCCACAGTCTGTAGCCTGTCTTCACAGTGTACTTCCCCAACTTTTCCATTTCCCAACATAATTTATCCGTCGCCGGTTGGTAGGGATAGGAATTTGTTGAATACAATGTCTGTCAGTAGGATTGAAATTCGCTTGCAATAAATCTGACCTCCAAACTCTATTATCGTGGTCAATAAGCTCCGAGACTGTTGTTTGAAGTCCCATTCCTACAATGGGTGTCTCCACTCGGAAATTTGGTGGCTCGGGTACCCATTTGTCCCACCATACTGTGAGAGACACGGTGTAAAGGCCGAGTCGGCCTGGGAGGGTATTTGGGTCAATTGGGTATTATTAGGGAGAGAGAATTATTTAAACTGCAGTCTCTATTATTTCGATTAATATAAACCCTAAATCCTCTTCTCTTCTTCAATTCCCATTTCAATTCCCAATTCTCAACCCTAATTCTTCTATTCTCATCCCCAATTTCTGTTTGATTAATCGTGTTTCTCACAATTGGTATCAGAGCCTCGTCGATATGAGTTCTACAGGATACTCGGATGGGGACTGGGGGCGCGGGGCGGCGAGGGAGAGGGGCTAACCTGCGGCGAGGGAGAGGGGCGGCGGAGGCCCTGGCCGCCGATGGGGCCGCCCTAGCAGCGGCAGCAGCAGCGCCGCGACGGGAGTGGAGGCGCGCGGGGCGCCGCGCGAGGTGGAGGCGCGCGAGGTGGTGGTCGAGGAGGGCTGGAGGCCACTGGCCGGCGATGCGAAGGAGCAGGGCGCGGGCTCAGCGCTCCTGTGGAGACAACAGGGTCACGGGAGGAGGAAGGAGGGGGCGCGCGGCTGGAGACCATCTCCACCGTCGCCGCCACCGCGGCAGCCGGGTCAGCAACCATGCGCTTCAAGGCGCAGATCGCAGGGGAGTGGGGCGTGGCCTTGGTTGATAGCGGGGCCTCCCTCAACTTCGTCGGAGAAGAGTTCGTGCGTC